TAAATTGCATTATGAACATATGCTAAATACAATGAACCTACAAATTTGTAATAACAATTGTATGAAGAATAACTTACCCGGTGGTATAGATAACTCCAGTTTTATTATCTATTCGGAAGAGACCTTGGCTTTCATTGGCTAATGAGTATACGATACGTTTATTAAAACCTAAATCAGCATCAGTAGCTCTTACTTTTATAATCGACGTATCGATTGGTGCATCTTCAGGTATGGCTGCTGAATAATGTCCTGTATCAAAAACAGGGTCATTGTCGTTCTGATCCTCCACAAGGATAGTGATATTACACGTTCCTTGCAAAGCTACTGGTGAACCATGATCATATGCAGCAATAGTCAAATCATATTTTGATTGCGTCTCGCGATCTAATGTCTTAGCTGTTAGTTTTCCTGTCGTTGAATCTATTGAGAATTTGTTCCCGTTATTTCCAGAAATAATACTGTAGGTTATAACTCCATTGGCACCAATATCTTTATCTGTCGCTGCTATAGTATGGATAATTTCAGGTTCATTATTTTCAGGAACAGCTAATGGGTAACACGAACCAGGTTTGAATGATGGTGGATTATCATTAACATCTAGAATGCTTATTGTCACGGTTGCTACGTCGAAATTTGTAGTTGATTGAAATGTGCTAGAGTCAGTGACGTAAACTGGAAAAATGTATTGATCCGCTTCTTCTCTGTCTATTTTAGTTTTTACTGTCACTGTACCGAGACGCTCTTCAATTGTAAATTTGTCATCTGCTAATCCAGGTGGAATCATATAAGTAAGATTACCTGAAAAAATAACCACATAATTAGAAATACTAATTTACGGGGAAAACGATGTATTTATTAGAGAGTTTTTTAAATTAAAAACTTACCCATGTTACCTCTAGATGACTTAGCGTTTAATCTCGTTACAAAACTGCCAGGACGTATATCTTCGCTAATATTTGCTCTATACATATTTTCTGTAAATCTAGGTGGTATATTTGTCGATGCTTGCAAATTTAAAAGTAGTGTCATATGAGTTTGTCTCGGGAATGGTATACCGTGATCGGAGGCGGTGATATTTAGCTTATACTGTCCTGAACGAACCTTGGTAGTATCGGAAGAAAATTTTTTCGACAACGTCAATCTTCCCGAGTCATAATCCAATGAAAAGTATGCATGATCATTTCCACTAGAAATGTAGTAAGATATTCTGCCATTATCACCAGAGTCTGCATCAACAGCTAAAGCTTGATATAAAACTCCAGATATTGTGTTCATAGTAACAGAAACTTTATTATTAGAGACGAAAGAAGGAATGTTATCGTTTGAATCTGTGACCGAAATGTGAACTGTTGCTAATGTTGCCATTCTTTCAGAGACGTTTGTTGCTAGATCGGTTACTTCAACAACCAACCAATAATCTTTTATATCTTCGAAATCAACTGGTGCTGTTAAGGTTAAAGTACCAGTTAAAGGATCTAGGCTAAATACATTTTTTGATATTGGTAACATTGAAACTATGCGAAAATTTAGTTCCCCATTAGGTCCAGCGTCAGCATCTCGTGCTGTGAAGTTGTAAACAATCATTCCGACTGAAGTGATTTCAGATACTTCTATATTTATTGGATCTTGAGACCATTGTGGTGCGTTGTCGTTTACATCGATTATTTCAATTCTAACAGTCACAGCACTGCTTTGAGGGTTATTTGTTGCTGAGGTATCCAAAGCTCTTACTTCCAGTCTATATTCTTCTTGGATTTCTCTGTCCAATTCCCTTGCAACAACTAATGAACCAGTTCGACGGTCAATTTCAAAAGTACCAGGCAAATGATCAGATGTCAATGGCATCAAAAGATATGATATTTGTCGTTCTTCTTCATTACTTATTGAATTGTCTTGTAAATAGCTGTCACAACAGGCAACCGTACCAACAACATGACCAATCTTGGCGTTTTCTTTGACCTGTAATTAAAAATTATTGTAAGTGAAGTGCTATTCGACAACACCAATTATTATTAGAAATGGGTATTTAAAATTACTGTCTTACCTTGAATGATAAACTTGAACTAGTAAAAGTGGGTCTATTGTCATTTAAATCTAAAACTTCAACTTTCAATTGCCTTACAGTTTGTCTAGGAGGTAGGCCGCTATCTGTTGCTGCTACAGTTAGACGATATATTGATCTTTCCTCATGATCAAGAACTGAAAATGAAAAAATCATTTCAAATTAATAAAATGTAAAACACCGCCAAAACAGATAATAACCAAACAGTGGAGATGAATTGAAGAATATTATTATTGTCTTACCTGTACTTGTTTTAATAACTCCTGTATGAGAATCGATAACAAACACTCCAAAGCCATCCATGTCTCTTTCGTTCAAGATAGAATACGTTACCGTGGCATTTATACCATTGTCTTTATCAATAGCTTTGACTCTAGCCACTTCTGCACCAGGCTGTTGTTCTTCTCTCACACTGACAACATCTTCTCTAGGATCAATAATTTCTGGTGAATTATCATTGACGTCTGTAACCTTAATAACTATAGGAACTCTATTTGATCTCGGCAAACTTCCTAAATCTCTTGCTTCGGCAAACACTGAGTAAGAAGACCGAAACTCTCTGTCTAATACTTCACGTGTGGTTATTATACCTGGAAAAAAAATTAATGTATTTAATTAAAATTTTAATTTCATTATTAAATAAAACGCCAATTTTTTAAGAAATAATTCTTGTAAAAAATTGCATATTTATGCAAAATAATTTTGTATTTTGACGCTAGAATGCGCTTTAATTTTTATGTTTCAAAAACGAAACGAATACAGAAATTCTCCAAGCCTTAAATTAAGTATTCATAAAAAGAATCGCTCGCGGCACAATGTCTATGATTATCCAACGGACCGCTCCGTATCGGGAACCTAAAACTCGTGATGACAGAACTGGAAAGGACGACAGCGTGATTTCACAAAATCGTCTCACCGAAAAGCAGTCCTTAACCGATGTCGATATAGCTGATATTTCCGCAGATCGAGATAAAGCTGTCGAGAGATAATAAGATGTGGCAGAGGGCCTCGTAATGAGCGATTTGAAGCGACCACTAAAAAAAATTCGACGATATTTCTCAGCGCAGGAACATAACATATATCGTCTCACTGACGTCGAAGTAAGAAAATACCTTGAGCAAGGAGAAGATTTATACCGAAACAAGAGTAACCGAACAAAAGTGACGTTATTCATACTGGCTTTTATTTTTATTCACGATACATTTGATTTGATCGATGATTTTTATTTAATTATACTTTAGTGTCATATCTCGATTGGGTTCTTAACATATTTTATAAATAATTTATCCGATTATATTTTAAAAAAAAAGGTATCCGTAAAAGTACGAAGGTAACAAGTCGTAGATCCAGGAGACGTCTTGCATGTACACTTGTAACGTATGATCTTTAAATACCCGACGACAGTATCTTGGCCGGAGCCGTAATAAAACATGGAAGAGAATAGCGAGGTTCCTACATCGCAATATTTTAATAATAGTTAATGGCGGGTCACGGCGCATGCGCGTGCGACGACGTTTATAACTCGAAATTGACGCGCATTAATTCATTGCCTCCTATTGCGGTATTACTTTGAGATTTAATTTTTCTTTTCTTAGATTCTTATATTTAATACTGTGAAAAGGACATTCATATCTCTCAATTTATGATCTTTACAGCTTTAATCCTTACTTTGTAATTCATGCTTAAAATGTGCATCTAAAAATATACTAATGGTTACATATCCATCTATGAAAATTTTCTAGCTCTGATTTTAAACTCGATTCTATCGTATACAGTTGTCTTTGAGAATGATTTACGAATATCGGTCGATATTTAAGGTTAAAATGTACTATCGCATAAGGTGTAACTGATACCAAATTGAGATGAAAAGATTCTACCATTCATCAGTCAGTTAAGGTCGCCAATACCCGCTTGAGTTACCCTCGCATCTTTTGTGAACAACCATATGAAGCAAGGAAAAACCCACGATGCATCCAAGATCAGCACATTCGTAAACAAATTTGGTCATACAAAGCCACCAATAGCTTCGGAACATGAATTCTAATTAAATTATTTCCTCTTCAAATTCGGAAGAAAAGGAGAGCTGTCCGAATGATTTAACGTATGTGATAATAATCTTAACGATCAAAATTAGGGTTTTTTTTCTATGTATGTTGTTTATTGGGCTGCATTGAGATAAATCTCTTAAATAGCTATAATCGAAGGGGATATTCATGGGTATTGAAGAGCAAACACCCTCTTCACACTGCTCCCTTTTCCTTTAAATTGTTCAGGTATTAATGTGGACGTATTTACACAATCCGTTTGCTCAGTTGACGAGTCTTAAGCCACAACACACTTTGGGTTTTAGCTTTCAAAAGTGCCGGCAACGCAAACAATGCGCCGAGAGGTTGGGTACTGTACAGCGAAATAGTTCTTTGGCTAATCAAACACTAGTCAGGACTCTCGAGTTGTTGGTATTACGGTATCGCATTGTCTTAACACAGCAAATGCAACAGCATTAGTTATTTTATTTAGCCTTATTCTTGTTTACTGAACAACTTGAAATAAATATTCAACTTTGCAAGTAAACAATACAGCCGTTAAGTACAATGTGGTGAAAGTAAATGAAAAAAAGAAATGCTCACCAGAAATTGGATTCACGATAAAACTGGTATTTGATGGGAAGAGATTGTATCTGACTAATGCGTTGTCACCTAAATCTGCATCGGTAGCAGATATTTTTCCTACAAACGCACCCACTTTACGATTCTCTTCGACTTGGAATTCATAAGATCCTTTTGTGAACACTGGATCGTTATCATTTGCATCAATTACATTCACAACTAGACTTGCACTAGTTGACAGCGGCGGGATACCATTATCAGTCGCAATTATAGTCATCTTGTGTTTTGCTGTCGTCTCTCTATCTAGAGGTTTAGCGAGATATACCCAGCCTGTACCTGATTGAACGTTAAAATATTCTTCATTCGTGTTGTTTTCTGATATTATTTTGTACGTTATTCGAGCATTATTACCAGTATCTTTGTCTATTGCTTGGATTTCTAATATCTGAAAAAAAAACACATATTTAGTTAGGACTGTTTTAGTATATGTTTTGACAATTTTGGAATCTTTATTCTTTACTTACTTTAGTTTTTACTGCTTCTGACTCCAGAACATTAGCACTGTATGTATCATGTTCGAATACTGGTGCATTATCATTGACATCTTGTACATCCACTACTAATGTTAAGTTGGCACTAAGGGGGGCAGTTCCTCCGTCCTTGGCGGCAATGATCAGTGTATGCCTTAGAAGATCTTCGTAGTCTAAGGGCCTAATCAAAGGAAATGTACATATTATTAAACTATTTTGAAATAGATTAATTGATTGACAGAGAATCTCTTAGTTAATTACCTTAATAAGGTAACCAATCCATGTTGAGGATTCACGGCGAATGTGTTCGGCGGGCCAGTGGCAGATAGCAAAGTGTATGTAATCTGTCCATTCTTTCCTTCATCTTCGTCAGTGGCTCTGGCAGCGTAAACAACTGATCCTATAGTCGCGGATTCAGCAACTGATACCCTCACTGAAGATGTACCGAACTCCGGTGCATTGTCGTTCACGTCTTCCAATGTTATTTGAACCTGTAAAATAAATAAAACAATTATAACAATGAACCATATAAATTTAAGCAAGTTTCTATGTATAATAATTTAGTAATGTCTGAACCTGAGTTTGGTCATAGCTAGCTGGATTCCCGTTAGCGGCTCGAACATTCAATAAGTATGAAGAGGTGACTTCTCTATCCAGTTGTGAGGCCGTTCTTATAGCCCCTGTGTGGGGTTCGATACTGAAATGGTGGTCGGTGTCGCCTGACACTATACTGTATCGAACTAAGTGTTTACCTAAAAAAAAAATTACCAATATATTGTGGAGACTACGGAGTCAGGTCTAAACAAAATAAGGTTATGCATATTTTTTTTGTTTATTATATACATTAGACTACAACTTCGATAAAACTCCTAATAGTGTTAAAATCACTAACAAATATTCTATTATTTTCATACAATTTTTTTTCAAGTTTTTTAAGCTAGCGCTTGACCACGATCCCACCAACTGAGAGTGAAGATTTGGTCGAAACCTATCTTTCGCGCTACCCTAATAAATAGGCATTCACTCTTTTATTATTTATTATTACAATTGTGTTATCCATAAAAATGTGAACCGGTAAAATGTGAGTTTCATTCTAAAATTGCATTATTTCTATCAAATTTAATTGGCACTTCTCGTGGCAGTTTAAGCGATTCAATGTCGTCGGCCATTTTTTTCGGGTCGTCCATTTTTTGCAGGCGTGTTTTTTCGCCGGCCGTTTTGGGCAGATCGGTTGACGGTAGGAGATTGATATACTGACTTATTCACCGACGTTCTCAGCAGTCTTTGTCCCTGTAACAGGTCCCTAGCGGGATCGCTCCCTCCCCGGACACGTCCCATCGCCCCGATGTCCCTTTGTCTTTCCTCTTTATACAGCCGGTGACGCGACATGGTCTTATTTTCGGAGATTTTACGGGGCCCGCCTTTAATGCGGTGATCGGTGTTTGTTTTCGCTTTGAGAATTTTCGGTGTTCTTATGTGTGTTGCTATGGATGATTTTCGATTAATAAAATCAGGAATTTTGCGATCGCAGATATTGATGTTTTAAAGTTTAGTTAATAATGCAGTAAACGTACTTTTATGTGTATGAAACTTTCGCTTTCGAATAACTTTTTCCTGAATTGTTTTTAACACTTTATCATTTTAATAATACCGTAGATTTTTGCTAACTTTTACATATTATAAAAAGGAGAGTCTAGACACATTTAATAGCACACATTACAAGGTCTATCCTATTGAGGTCATACAGTTTTTGAATCAAACAGTGCGGGCGTTTGTTTTTCTTAATTGTGAGTTACAGAATCTTTCGGATAATTATCGAGCGAGTGAAATAGAATCATCGCAATGTATTTTTTTGACCGGAGCTCATTAAAGCCAGTGGCGGTCCAGCGTGGCTTACCTGTCCCACGTCATTACGAAAATTTATTCGCACTCGGTCCTCTAAATTGAAATCATTAATGCCGCCGCCGATTATCTGGCTCACGCGCCAACACCGACCCTCAATTAAGACTTGTAAAGATCTCCTATGTGAATTGTTACGATCTCCGATTTCAGTTAAATGAATTAATTATCTCAAAGTTCGATTATCTCCGGCCTTTAAATGCCATACGGAATGAAGCTGGGAAAGTGCACTTATCTAGCATCTAGCATCGGAATATCTTTTAAGAACTGTATCTTGGGCAGAGTCTCATTCTGCCGGAGCGGCCGCGAAGGTTAATTATATGGGGATAAATGAGACCAAAGGTTAATTTGGAATTCCATCGATAGTAAACGATAATAAAACAATAACTTCCAATAATAGTTCGCATCGTATTAAGTCTAATTGCTTTAGAATACATGACTTACATTCTTGACGTGACATTCTTTTAAAATCTCGTGGCCTTCAAGTTTGCTAAAGATATAATTACATAAGCCGAAGACGTACCAACGTCAGCGATTCAGAGCATTTAATACATAAATCGTGTAAACAATTTCAGTCCCAACTTCCAAATAACGCGGCGTAAAAAGTTTTAAAATAATTGAGGTGCGGGGGTTTCAAAAAAGAAGTCTAGAAGGGCACCGACAAAAACTGTCGTTGTGAGAGAAGTTTGTTGACCTCCATTGGATTTATTCGGCCGGTTGCCGCGCGTCCGAGCCTCGGCCGTATCCTTGGATTTCTCGGGGATTCGAATTTCAAATTTTCAGCGACGGGCAAAAGAAAGCGTGAACCAGATCTCGATTGAACGGTGTAAAAGAATCAATCGTCGTGCGTCGATTAAATAGCACCTACTAGTATTCAATAGATCGGCTCGCGGGTCATAAATTACGTCGACTGCGTGTGGTCTAACGGAGTGCCGCTGCGAGTCAATAATATAATTAAATCGAACTTTGATTAGAAACACACCTACTGTACCGAAGTTAACGTGTTGTGTAACTGTTTTTCGTATTTCATCTATAGTGAATCATAACTGTCTAGTAATTGACGGAAAGACGAATAGCAGCTCGCAGCCGGAGTAAATTAAATTATATAGTTATGAAGGCTTTTAATACATTGCTCTGGGAAAAACGAAAGGTACTTTGAATTCCATTTGATTAGGAAAGTATTCCATAATAAGATAGTAAAATATCAAGACAATTTAATAAGGAAATTAGTCACTTTTTTTTAGTTCTCTCTGATTATACTCTCTAGCTTATCATAATCGATATAATCGAATAAACGAAATTCGTTTTATTATATCGATTTTACATGAATACATTGTTACGAATCGGGACGCCCATAATTCTAGCAATTAAATTAAACGATATTAAAAGTAAAATATTTTATACGACGGGAAGTGGCCGTGCAAGTTATCCAATTTATGACATAAGTTCAAGTGAACATACATCTTAATGATCATTAAATGATATATTTTTTTAATTAATTGATGTTTATCTCGGGGCGAATAGCTCATAAATCCGGTGAGGGCGTGCGCATGAACGTTGGCCTTAAATGTACCGCTTTTTCTAATTAAATACGGGATTGGATGATCCGGCTGAGGAGTAAATTGTAGAGCGTACAAGAGGTTTAAAATTTATGAAACAAACGCAATTGCCACTTCTAGATAATAGGAATCTTTGTAGTAGACATAGACAACTTTACGCATTGGTTTAAAGCGACCTTTACCCAAATTCTTGATCGTTTGAAAACAATACAAGAAATAATTTGACTATAGTTTTTTTATTGTTTTTTTTTTGAGTCTTCTGTTTACAATAACTGAAAGCGAATCGCTTTACGCTTGCGCCACAAAGTTATACGTTACGTTTAAATTTCAAATCGGTATTTTCCTATTGCAGAGATTAAATTTGCAATAATGTTTTTTTACAATCGTTTCAATTATTAACGATTTATTTATAACATGCAATAAAACGAACTGTAGCTAGAATTATTTGCAATCAATGTATACTTTATATTAGCGCAGTTGTTGACTGTCTACAATGATTTACAGTGGCCTCAGCACCTGGTACAGATTTCCGGAGGATCGGAATTGTCATACGTGCTGATAACATTTACTGAGTTATTGGCGCGATTTCAAACCGATATTGAAGTCATCAATAATACATACATACATTTTAATAACACAAAACATAATAACAATACTGTAAATGCGAAAAGATGGAAGGATATTTGGTAGAGATAGTCTAGAAGAACACATAGGCTACTTTTTAATTCCACGTGAACGGAGTCGCGAGTGAAATATATATCTTTGTATAGATAGTCCCGGCATGAGTGTGGTCCATTTTCGAGCAAAAACAATACAGAATGCCTCTAAAGTATGAATCTCGGCCCGCTATCTCATAATACAACAATGGCGCTGGTGTAGCGGAATTCTCACAGACAAGTGCGACGCAGCCTAACGGTGGAGTTTGCAATTCAGTGATTTACAGAGCCGCTGCTTGCAACAGAATAAACGTGAAGTTGTATGAAACGGCTGACTATTACACCGTTGTATACTGAACGTGATTTATCAGATATTTTTAATTTGAAATTTTAATTTCGCGAATGTAACAACGGTCTTAAGTCTTTCTTAGAACACGGAACGTAGGAGAATACCAATTTAAAAATGCCTTTATGACTATAAGTGGAATGTTAGCTGCGACCAATATCTCTTGATCAGTATTCATTTTATAATATTAAAAATATGAATCAAGCTACCGTGTAAAGATATTTTTTCTTATCCAATAAGGACTGTACTAATTACATCTTTTAATTAATCAGTATGTAGACAAATATCAACAATGTAGAATAAATAGTTTCACGTTTCGATACAGCATAATAATAACGGACACAGCTATTTGGCCTTCAAACTGGCATCCGAACAAACCCGAAGTTATTAAAGACGCTAATTGAATTTCGAGACGTGCATTTTAATGCAAATGACTTGAGTGGTTTTATTACCAGTTTGAGTCAATTACACCTATAATTTTTGGATCGAATTTAAATTCTTTACAACTCTGATCACTGACGAACTGGCGGCTAAATTTTGACTGACGAACTAATTAAAGATAAGGTTTAGACGTAATTGATAAAATTTTACAAACATACTTTGTTACGTTTCAAGTGTATTTTTTTACAATATTATTTTGCCAGATTAATAGTTAATTGTATAGTTACTACAATATAGATCATACTCATGTTATAAATGCGAAAGTTTAGATGGATGGATGGATAGAATTTGTAGCCTAAACGGCTGAACGGATTACAATGAAATTTAGTACAGATGTAGAGAATAGTCTAGAAGAACACATAGGCTACTCACTTTGTTTTTAATTCCACGCGAACGGAGTCGCAGGCGAAAGCATGTATTAGTATAATATAATTTAATACATCAAAAAGATTTAAATGTAGTAACTATTCCATGGATATACTTTTGAAAATTATGAGAAAATTGAATAATGTTAAGAAAAATCTTGTCATCATACGCTATCTATGATAGGTCAGATTAGAAGTCATGGTAACTTTAAGAAAGGCAATATTGTACATATCATTGTTGGCGCAATTTGATCTTGTACGGTGTAACAGAAGGAATCAAAGAATAAATATTAGTAGAACAACGTCCCGAGTGAGATAGCGACTGTACTTTATCGACTTCATTTTGATTTATCAACGATGTTTCAATGATTCTATGAAATTATAATCGAAAACTAATGTCAATAATATACCTTGTTAAATGATTACAAAGTAACGGGAAATTCCGTTTTAATATTTTAATAAAACATTGTTTTGAATTGCCCGTGAAAAGACTAAAAAGTTACAGACAGAGACATGTTTCTTACTACGATATTTAAAGACTAACCAAAACTTTAGCTGCACGGAGGTAAATTTAATAATATTTCAGTATCCAAAGATTAACAAACAGTTACGTTTTTCTTTACTTTTTTAATTTTGTATTTATTATACGATCTGTATATTTTATAATCTCAAAACGAAATTGCAATTTCTCGAATCGATATAGTAAATCTGTAAGATTCATAAAACTGCATTTAAAGGTTATTTTAGGTGTTTCTGCGATCTCGTTATTGCCAAATTCAGGCTTTTAAGTGGCTGTTTCTTCGAAACTGGTAATAATTAATAAGACTCAATGTAGCATCAGCATTGCTGATTTTTATACCCTTTGAACATGCAAGTGTATTGTTTATTAGAGTTTTATAAACCAATAAATATACCTTAGCCTTAAGGTAACATTGTTTTATTAATTTTCATTTGAAATTAAATATGTGCTTTTGAAAAGTGGAAATTATTTATGTCAATAACTCAATCTTAACACATATCATTTTCACGAACTATTACAATCGAAAATAATTAACAAAACTATTATTTTAGACCTACATTTCAAAATAATCGCGTAAACACAAGTTTTTTTTATATTAGAATGGGACAAACAACCAGCGAGTCATCTAATGTAATTTGATCCGACACTTATGGACGCGACACCTATGGACGCAACGCCAGAACCGTTTTACAAGCAAAATTATCGAATCATACTCGATTTATAAATCGCAATACACGTGCTTTGATTGTTAACTACAAAGCGAAGTTAAAAGATGTGGAAGGGATTCAATGCACATATTCGTGATCCCACCAGGACAATGGGCGATTACGAATTTGTGCATAGACATCTACACTGTGTGGTGCAAACGAAAAGCGATCGCGAAGGTGTTACTATATGGCTTCTGTATAAAATTGTCATTTGTATTATCATTACCGAGTCACGACTATCGCATTAAGGAAGTTTAAGTAAACGATAAAATGACCTTTTGTTTTTTATTTTAGTTATAATACTTTAATAATAGCGTTAAAATTCAGTTCTTGGTGGATCTTTGATTAGTAAAAACATGATTTTATCAGTCTTTTGTAAATCGTCTTTCTTATTTTTGCTTTTAACTATTTTGTTTGATTTGCTAATGAATTTTGAACCTTGAGTTGATTTTAAAACAGTTCACATTTTATAGGATAATGCAGATAATAAATCTAAGATAATATACGTCTATTTTATCGCTACCGTTTGTAGTTTATATGTATACTAGTGTGGCACGACTTCGATAAATTTGTTAAGAGAAATGAAGCTATAACGTAATTCTATTCAACGGTAGTTAGATCTACTCTAACATTAATATTTACTCTTTCTAAGTGACTTTCTTTGTATGTAATCCAAAACGTTTATTTGTTTGTTTGTCTACGAACCTTTCTATCTCTGGAATGCTATTGAATGAGTGTCTTGAGTATACAAACGTTTTTGACATCAGTATTCTTAGCTACTTTAATTTACATTATTGTACAGTAAAAATAGGATACTATCCAATTAACTACTTTATAATTAACTGTTAAAATATACAACCTTATTACGATAGTTTATTAAAAAAATATTAACTCTTACCTCCAGCAGTAGCTTTCAAATTTCCAACGATAGTTCCACTTCTAACATCTTCTCTGACTCGGAAATTATATCTTGGCTTGTCAAATAATGCTGAGCCAACACCAGTTGGCATCACATTAACATGAACAGTAGCACCTTGGGGCGCGGTGAGCCCACCGCCATCTGTCGCCGATACTTCCAACTCAAACTTTCCATTAGACTGAATCAAAGCTGGCTTTGTGACGAATATTTCTCCAGTACTTCTGTCTATTCTGAACACATCATTATCATTTCCGTTGATTATTCTATAAGTAACGGTTCCAAATCTCCCTGAATCAGCGTCTGTCGCGGTGACAGCAACGATTGGTTCATTTGACGATATCCTGCCTTCTTTTAAAGATACGTTGTAATCCTTAACAGTGAATGCGGGAACGTTGTCGTTTATATCGAGAAGTTGGATCTTCACCATAGCGGTCGTGGACAGGCCCCCTGCGAATATATAAATAATTGGTCTCTTGATTGTTTGTGTATTGTTGTAATGTTATGTTTAATTGACAGCCGCTTGATTTATGCTGATGTCAACGCGTTTTCTCCGTGTACGAGTTTTGTGATACCGACTTGAACAGAGCTGGTCCTTGGCAATAATTTAATTGATGCATATTCTTTTAATGCGATTGCGAACGAACCAGTTTCCACTGCGTTGCGACTTTACATACCGTGACAGGAACGAGGAAACGGATTTAACTGATGACTGACTGATGACAAGAAAAAACAAATTCTTAAATTTATTGCTATCGAGGCATCCTTGAAATAAGATATTATGTTTCACTTTGTCTAGATTCATCTTAGTGCTTGTATTTAAAGCTATATCATATATCTAGATTTTTTTCTTTGATCTTTTGTGATGTCCACATTGGTTGCGATGGCAACGAGGAATAAATTAGCTGTCAAAAGATGAAGTGTATATTTGTGCATGCTTTTTACAAATCGTATTTACTATCTTGATATAAATGTTTCACTTAACACAGAAATGTTGTATTCTGTAAGATTTAAGTGTAACGTTTAACCAATTTTGTTAAAGACGCTTGTTTACCTATTGAGCTGAAATTACTACCGAAATTTCCTTTCCCATGCGAAGGTTTGCCGACCGTCAGATTGGGGTGAAATAAAAAGCCGAGGTATGTAATAGTTGGACGGTTCGCGCTCCATAAATCAGCTGGTGGTAGAGACAACAGCCGACGGACGCTTTCGGAATTTATTCGCGACTTGCTGCGTCGTCGGCGCTTTATTTTTGAAACTCTGCATATAGATTTATAGTTCGCAATGCTTCCACCTGTCGGTATTATTTTACCATTTCTTCTTTTATAGACTTTTGAAAGAAATGTTTATCATTTTAACGTTTCTCGTTTTGCTGGAAGATGATATACGTTTGTCTTGCGATTATGAATCACTACAACTTTGTGGTTAAAATACATCGAATATTCTAGATATAAATAATAAAGATTCTATTTTTAAAACACACTTGTTTAAATTTATGACAATGTAAATAACCTTAAGTTGACATCAATATATTTCAAGTAGCATTATTAGCTTTGAGTGATGTAATGTGTTCCTTCGCGACATAATGCAAATCTTTGATTGGCACTATCCCACATAATTTTAGCATTGTGTTTCTATTTGTAACTTCTCATCTAAGAGCGGGCGCACACCTTTGACCAAACTATCGCACAAATGTTGTGCGATTGTCGATTGTTTCGCAGCCCATTCAACTGTTTAGTTTCACAACTAATAATCGAGTAGTGCTTCAAATAAGCTCATAATCAAATCAATAAAAAAAAATCAGGAAATAAAGGGAGACTAAACAGTTATGCGATCATTTATTTTCAGATGTGCGCACTCTCTAAGACACTGTTTCATCTTACGTAATTAACTTACCTCTATCAGTAGCAACAACTGGAAATTCAAAGTCACTATTCAGTTCATGATCTAGTGGTGCGGCGACGCACAGCTCTCCAGTATCTGGCCGCATAACGAATTGTGCTCGGAGTAACGCTTGCTCCGGCAGCGTGTAGTTGACGATTGCATTAACACCGCAGTCCGGATCGATAGCTGACATCTGAAAAACAATAGACTGATGTTATTGTGTGTTGTACAAGAAACAAAAGTTAAGACTGTATTAGAGGGTATTATTACATTGAAAAATAATTGTGTCAGTTAGAGTAATATTTTCGTTTGATGTGGGTACTTACACAAAGATAATGTGAAAAATTACAAATGCTTACACAAAAAACATTAACAAATTTCGCTAATGGTGGTCGAGAATGAATTTATTATCTAATCAAAGTTGATTAAAATCTGAATTTAACTCATTAAATAGCAGTAAACTTAACATAACTGGAAATCTTATTACTAACAAGATATCAATTCCTCACAAACTTTCTACAGATTACTAAGCTTCTGATAAAGATCATGAATAATTAGAAACGCTTAGATCATAACGTAATAATCAAGTAGTTGTGGGGTCCTTATTATGAGGTCTATACATTTGTAGGTCTATGGAATTCTATTACTCTATAGTACCTGATTGAATGCTTAACGGTAACCCAGCAGTATTGTTCAATGTTCAAGCGGCAAAAGGTTATTTGTAATAGTCAAGTAATTTATCAGCTAAGAAGATAATTGATATAGAAATTTATTACAAAGATTCTAGAAGATTCTTGAATCTTCTAAATAAAATCTGTAAAAATCTACAAACAATCGATTTGGTAATCCACAAATAAACTATCAGATATCGATAAGAATTAAAATTTGATTTTACAACGACGCTGAAATTTTAAATGGTTGGTTACAAAGATGAAAATACCATATGATTTAAAAAAAAAAAGATCAGAGGAATTTCCTATCAAAGATATCAAAGTAACTATTGTGGAGTAACTATTATTAGCTGTCGCGTTGAAAAATAAACGATCACATCGTAGGTGTTAAGTGGTCGAAAAAACGAAGATTAGAACACTCGGTAATTAGCAAGAAATCATCTTCTCTTTATCAAGCCAATAAGTACAGATCGCAACGTTCAGTATTTTCTCCATCAACATTGGATTCTAGTCTTTAACTTTCTAATGATAACGATTAAAATTGTATGCAATTTATTGACAATCTTTGTAACCGAAGCCGGGGTTCGTACATGACAACGCATGCTGATTAATTGCTCCGGCGTCCAGTGCGAAGATAAATTGTCGTTGTTGCTAAATCATAGGAATGTCACGCGACAATCTCACTTACGTACATCACGTTAAGACTTATAATGCCTTAGCAAAGTTAAAGTTAGTATTAGCCATTTACACGTAAATTCTGCTGTTGTCTTTATTCGTTTATACATATTGCTTTCATCTCATATGAAGCGACCATTATCATTGTTTCCTCGTTAATGTCAACGTAGGAATTTAATAAAACAAGTTGTGCTAGCGCAACTTCAGATGGAGTTTTTTACTTATTACATAACTTTATGTCCATTTTACTAGTCTTTGATAACTTCAAATTATAAGAATTAAGTTAGATACGTAGTAGTAGGAGATAGTAAAAAATTTAAAGAATTTAGAGGTTATTAATGTTAAAGAATGATTTTTTTAAATTTCCTCGTAACCGAGGCTTTGTGGGAATTTCTTCACGCTTACAATTAACTAATAAAGTCATGGCTAATTTGTTTCTATTACTTTTAATAGGGCTATTATAGCTGTAAAATAGTTACCTGTGATCTCACGTTTTGTTTTAAATTACAATTATTTTATTTTTTAAGACAGTAACTCCGAACAAGGATGGCCAGGTGAGAGAGGCGCCATCGCGGTTAATTCTGTCAGGAAATATTTTTAATCTGCATTAAAAAAAGAACAAAAACAAAAGAATGACGAGACACTTTCCGGCAAAGATTTTATGATCCTTTGACATTGACGGTTCTAAATTCAAATCGTATTCTCCTCGTTTATCATTTCTACATTTAAAAATAGAACACGTATTCCAGTTGGCATTATTTTTAATGTAATGGCTTGTCTGTACAGTCGGCCAGTACAATCAGCTTACAAATTGACAGTTAAACTGAACAATAAAAACAAAACGTGAACATCCGATGGAACAAAACGAATGTGTTTTGTTTGGTTCATTTTGAAATGTAAGTAGTTTGCATATAATAATGCGGAGGAACAATAAATCTTGTTCACATGGTGGCAAAATGAACAACAAAGATAGTCTATAAGTAACAGAATATACAAATGTGGATGGTTTTTACATCAATAAAATAATAGAAATTAATTTTGCTTTAAATGTAGTCTCTACAAAGTGTTGTTTAGTCGAGTTTTGATGAAAAGGAATCTTTTTTTTTCGTTTTTAAAATCTAACCTATACAAAATGTTTTATTAAATGTAATACGACTTTTGTAAGTAAATTATGTATTTTAGTACAAGTTAAATTAATAAATTACTAATATCAATATTTTTAATGTGAAACTTTGGAAAACGGTTAATCGGAGCACAATGTTTGGCACAGAATTTAGTCTGAAATAACATATTATTTAAAGACTACTTAATAAGATTTTTAATTACGCGGGGGTAAATTCGCGGGCTACAGATAGTCAATAATAAGTATTACAGGGTACACTAAAACAGTAGCTTTCTCTTCACGGTCACATTTCTTCCTCGCAGTTCCCTTTTTAGATCTGGCTCCCCGATCTACCTCGAATTTCGATCTTCTTTTCGTTATTCTTTTGTCTTTTACTTCCAGTACATTCTCGATTGTTGGAATCATATACATTTTTAATAGAACATTCTCGATTCCGCTTCGAATACTCCAGACATCTTTACGCGAATGTCTTCCGCTACTCGCCAACAGATGGCGTTGCGGTAGAATATTCTGGAAACATCTAGATTATACGACGGGCGACAATTTCTTTACTCGCCATGAAATGTCGCTGCGATAGAATATTCTGGAAACATCGATTATTACACATACATGAATAGATGTCGCGACTATGTGTTATAAGTGAAAATCGATCTTTTTATCTCCTACATTCCCATAGACAAGTTGTCGCTTACAAAAGCGATATTCGTTTCATAATATGACGTCAAAGATAAAACAAAAGACGGCGGCTAAGTACTTAAGTTTATGTATTTGCAATTTGACGCTGACTGTACGGACTTCACTTAAAAGATAAGCAACCGTAGTAAGATTTATTGCTTACTTTCAGTAACATATTAAGTATTTAAAAAACCGTACGCGGAATGTGTGTCTCCTTCACGCGTCTCAATTAGGGATATTATCGGGACCGAAGGTTTTTTGTATTGAAGGATTAAAGGGAATTTAATTTAATCTTGTCATCGAATATTGATTTAAAATCCAGAATTGAGAACTTAATAATAATGAATTATAAATGACAAACAATATCTATATAAAAATATTATAAAAAGGGAATATTTGAACCGCGGAAATGGTATGCTGTCACTGAGTTGATGAGCTATATTTTTTACTACTTTTTTAATCCATGCAAAGTCTCGAGTAACAGCTAGTGCTAGATATAAAATACGAATTTACATTTAGAGAGGCGAACACCTTTGACCTCACAACTGTTGTGCGATTGTCGATTGTTTCGCAGCCCCAACTGTTTAGTTGCACAACTAAAAATCGAGTAGTGAGCGCACCTCCATATAACATACGAATCATTGCGAAACTGAGTTGTGCGATAGTTTAGTCAAAGGTGCGCGGTTTTTGTTTTACTTTATCAAAAGTTGTATCTCTGACTAGCTGTACCCATGCGGCTTCAACCGCATGAAATTATGAAAAATTTATTAACATATTGATAGTAAATGTCAAAATGACATGACAAACCATGGCAACATTGCTTCCTTGATGTTGGCAGCAACTTATGTTCTCTTTCCCGCACTAGTGTTTTTATCCAAAATATTTACCCCCTAAGTTTAATGGCGTTAAAAAAAAATAGCCTAAAGCGTGACGTAAGTGTATCGCTTCTTATTAAAAAAAGAATTATTCAAAAATATGCTGTAATTGCTGACACCTTAGGCAACAAAGAAGTGTGTGTTTACATTTTATTATAATAGTGTAGATAAAATAAACGCTAAAAAAACCATTACAAATGTCAGCAAGTATTCAACAGTTCAAAATCCGAGAAATTTAAATTCAAGAGCCGCATTCAAGTCTTGTCTCATCTAAATAAAGTAGATGCCTTGTTTATTCGATACAAAAACGCATAAATAAATTATTTGTAACGAAAATAATAAGGATTTCCAGTTCGTTTCTTCGGCCGTAGTAAAAGGACATTGTAATTCAAAGTGATTGGCACACAATAATGGAATCAAACATATAGGTATTTAAAAAATGTTCGCGTTAAAAGGAAAAAGGTAGAGACGACAGTAGTCAAAGGAGTAAATAAAATTGCTGGAACAATACCAGGCATGGCCTCCGAAGGATTTGTAGCCATTAGTTGTATTCTAAATAGATTACGCAATTATAAACCTTACACCATGATAGTACAGTATAAATTACTTTAGAAAGATAATACAATTTTATTACTCGTAAATTTAAATTGTGAACTTTATTTCGTTCTAGATAAAACTATCTTTGTAAAAGTCCTTTGATAAATTTACGTTAAGAAGCTAAAACATTTAAAAATGCCGATAATATGCAAAAACTTAAAAAATTACCTATATTATTTCTTACTAAAATTATAAATGCGATAGTATAGAAGGATGGATGTTAGAGTTTGCTTAAACTGCAAAACGGATCTTTATAAAATTTGGCATAAATGTAGAGCATAGTCTGTAAGAACACATAATACTACTCAAGTTTTATTTTTAATAGCTGTTCCTGTGCGACTTCATCCGCATGAAATTATGAAAAAATTATTTTATTGTTTACATTTGTCAAATTATCAATTGCAAATGTCAAAATGACATAAAGATGGCAACCTTGCGTCCTTGATGTTGGCAGCAAC